GGGTGGGTTTATTTTTATATTTTCTTTAAAAAATTTTTTTTTTTTAATTTTAGTAATATAGCTGTGGTTTTGTCATTTTTATTTTTAAAATAAGTCTGCATAGTATTTATTCATTTATTTATTTAGTAGTTTTTTTGTTTATTTAGGTATAGTTATTTAAACTAGCTGAAATAAAATACGTTTACATTTTTATATTTTATTTTAAGTAATTTTTTTTATGGTTTTAGTTTACTTTTTGTTTGACACAATGTTGTAAAAATATAAACAGTCATGTTTCACAAATGTTGGTTTTCCCAGAAACAGTTATGCAACACAGGATTAGCAGGACCAAATTAGTCTGATATTAATAAAGCAACCTGTCACATCAAAGTTGGGAAAATCCATGTCCAGCCCACTCCGAGCCTTATAAAATGTCTCTAGCTGGGTGAAGACCTGAAGTGTCTGAACTGAGCGAACCTGAGAGGTAAGAGACTGACTAAACTAACCTCTTTCTTAATGCAAACATGTTAAGTTGTAGATGGTTTATTTGCACTCTTATCTATGCACAGAGATCATACTTTATCTATGGAGATTTTTAATTTTTACTATTTGTGGCATAGTTAATATTGCCATTTGCTAACTTGTATATTTTTATATGTTCAGCTCTGTAATCATGAAGCTTATTCTTGCTGTGCTGGTGCTGGTTTTGGTGGTCGAGACCCAGGCTCAATGGCGCCACTACCCAGGACAAGCCATTGGAGGTCACTTATTTTTCCTTTTTATCTGCATTTACTCTTAAGTCATGCACCCAGTTGAATCAGTTCGCCGGGAGATTAACCACTTTCACTGTGTTTTGTAGGTGCAAAGGACATGTGGCGTGCTTACCAGGATATGAGGAAGGCCAACTGGAAAAACTCAGACAAGTATTTCCATGCACGTGGGAACTATGATGCTGCAAGAAGGGGCCCCGGAGGCAGATGGGCAGCCAAAGTAATCAGGTATGTCATCGACGGCAGATTTGACATGATTTGATTCCTTAGAAGCTCATTTGAGCACTTAAACAGCAGCTCAGTGTGGTATTATGCATGTTTACATTTTCGGGAGGAATTTTGAATTGTAATATTATTATCTAATGTTAATGTTTACATTTTAAGTGCATGACAATTGCATTAAATCACCGTTCTGATGTGTGCAGTGATGGAAGAGAGGCTATACAGGGACTCACTCGCCGCGGTAATTCAGATGCTGCAGCAGACCAGGCCGCCAATCGCTGGGGACGTAATGGTGGTGACCCCAACCGCTACAGACCGAAGGGCCTTCCCAAAAAGTACTGAAACGAAGAGCATCAGTGCAACAGAAAATGACTGAAACCATTTTGCTCTAAAACTGCTTGATTCAATTTTGCATAAAACCATTTCACTCTTTTTTTTTTTTTAATCTTGACAATTATCTTTCATTAAATCTGCTTTTATGACAAAAAAAAAAGCAATATTTAGGTTTTAGCATCATTTAGTCTATGTAACACACTCTCTTGTCTGAATAAAGGAAGCAACTTCATTTGTAGTTTGAGTGTCTGTTGTCATTATTATGTTGGAGCGCCTCCAGCTGGTCATTCAAGCACATTGTCTTCATCTACCAACATCTTTGTCAGACTTTTTTTTTTTTTTTTAAGTTTGTCTTGACTGGACATTAATTAAATCTGCATTTATTACATCAAAATATAATCTTTAATGTTAAATTCATTTGATCTACATTAGGGGAATAAAATAAAGGTTTTAGTCACATTTTAATCGAGAATATTGAATGTTTGCACTGCATTTTTGCTCAAAAATATAAACTAAATTGAGAGGATCTTTATCTGTTTGATCTTCTCAGACTCAGTCATAATAAGACTCAGTCGTTATGCTTACAGTAGGCTACTTCACTGCTGTGTACCATTAGTACTTTCACCAACAACAAAAAAATGGTTTTAAACCAGTTTTATATATGTTTTGCTGTAGCGTGCCAGTAGGAAATATCAGTTTACATTTCCAAACATTTCTTTTGCCGTTAATTGTAATAATCCAGTGAGATTTTTGTGTGCACAAGGAGTCTGACAGCAGCCAGTGCTGCACACAGAGACCTGATCTCACCATCATCCAGTCCGTCTGAGATTACATGAAGAAACAGAACAAACTGAGACAGACTAAATCCAAACTGTGGCAACGTCTCCAAGATACTTGGAAAAAAAACTTCCTGCAAAGCTAACTGAAAAACTATGTGCAAGTGTACCTCGGACAAAAGCCGTTTTAAAAGCAAATAGTGGTCACGCCAAATGGAGAATTGATTTAGTTTAGAAGTTAATTGATAAATAAAATCTATTTATGCCATTATTTTTGAAAGCATCCTCACTTTACAGCATTTTTACACAAGTGCCTATAACTTTTCACAGTACTGTAGCTTTGTAGGCAAGTTTCTTGCTTTCTTCAAGCATCTTGGAGACGTAATAACTGGCTTTATACAACAGTTCGTTCTGGTTCTCAAATCTGATTGGTTGAGAACCGTGAGATATTGTACTGGTATCGCTACAGGAACGCCCTTTCACAATTTTGTATCACTCCGCTTGTTCTAGCCGGGTCTATGTTTTTTTTAT